GGTGGTGTGGTGGTGTGGTGGTGTGGTGGTGTGGTGGTGTGGAGGTGTGGAGGTGTGGTGGTGTGGTGGTGTGGTGGTGTGGTGGTGTGGTGGTGTGGTGGTGTGGTGGTGTGGTGGTGTGGTGGTGTGGTGGTGTGGTGGTGTGTGGTGTGTGGTGTTGTGTTGTGTGGTGTGGTGTGGTGTGGTGTGGTGTGTGTGTGTGGGCGTGTGCGTGTGCGTGTGTGTGCGTGTGTGCGTGGGTGCGTGCGTGTGTGCGTGCGTGCGTACGTGCGCGCGCGCTCCATAGAAGAAGAAACACACTGCCCATGCGCACCTACATACAAAGTTTTCGGCACGCCCATGCGGTCTGCCGCGTGGCATCTGTGTCCTGAGCTTGGGGGGACCCTCCAATGGCCCCTTGGCCAAGCTGCTGCCGGACCTGCCCGAACTCAGCAGGACTCGGCGTCGTGGTGCAAAAGGTCAGCGGGCGAAAGGCAGCGCCACCGCCTTCGCAAATTGAGACCAAACGCCTTCGCAAATTGAGACCTGCCGAGACCGTCCGGCCCATCTCTCCCCCCACACCTTGCTCTGCAGCAGCTGCGAGGCTGCGACAGCAAGGCAAGGTGCTCGCTAGAGAAGTGCCCAGCGACTCAAGAACTGGCGCAAGCACTTCGGGAGGTAAAGAGCCGCATGCAGCCATGGCCCACGCGCCACGTGAAAAGCTGATTCTAGATCCAACAGGCTCCTTGAAGCCACTAAGCAGACAGATTTGAGCTACTACATGCTTGATGCCAACTTGATGCTGTGGATATGTGCGTTCTTGCCAGCAGGGTTGAACAAGAGCGACGCCTGATACAAGAAGCTCAGCCAAATGCCTGGTTCTAACATTGCAGCAGATGTGGCCCAGACCTGGTCTCTCTCTCACGTGCTGCCGCCACAACCGCGCTATCCTGCAGACTGCCTGGCCGCGCTGCATGCGGGGCAATGATCCACCATAATCACTGCACTTCCCGGTTTCATCTAACCTTGGACAGCCCTCCACAAAAGGCAATCCTCCCAGCCACCTTCTCCCGTGCATACGCACCTTCTCCTCCTCAAGCGGCTTGAGCCTATTGCAAAACCAAAACAGGATTCAGGCCACGTGCAGCTCTCGCAGCTCCCGTGCACTGCACTCGCGAACTTCAAACGGGCTTGCTTCGGGAGCTCAAGGTTGTTTTGCTCGATGAGCCGCCATTTTACCTTGAGCTCAAGGACAGGGCCTCTCCTCCTCCGAACGAACGCTCGGCTGGAGGCTACACAGGAGTCCCGTCAGAACGTATGCACTTAGGCAATTAAGCATTTTAACGCTAAGCTATGCAGCTGCGCCCCCAGAATCACGCTTCGCTGCTTGGCAGCTACACGGAAACAAGCCCGCAAAAACAAGAACATGTGTTTGGCATTCATGTATAGTACGGATGTTCATGTATAGTACGGATGTATGCATTATATATATATATAACATTTGGAAGTTACATTGTCTGGGTGCGATGCCTGCGACGCCTCAAGCCGTTTCAAAAAGCCTGCGGCGATTGGAAGCTTTGCATATCCAAAACAACGCATACATACAAACTTCATATGCGGAAATAAACAAAGCTGCGGGCCTAAGCAGCCCGCATGTACAAGAAGCCCGAGTCTTGCAACAGCGCATGCACACTGACACAGTCGCGCAACATGTGACTGCAAAGTTGCTGGCAGGGCCTGTACATCAATAAGCAAGGTGTAACGGTACTTGGGCTGAGCAGCCTGCAAAATCACAGACTTCCGTAAAGGCGCGCCCATCGCGAAAGCGCAAAGCTGCCCCTGTGCAAGTGCCCGTTAGGCCGCTTCTGTCACCAACCTAGCTTGGCAGAGTGTGGTGTCCACCATGGAAGGTGTTCGAATTACTGAATTCAATCGACTGAGCTGGCACAGGAAGAGCAAAGGGCGGACCAACTCGCCCCGCCTTCAAGGGTGGAGGCAGGCAAGGCTGCTTGGGCAGCGCCACTTGGGGGGTCTCTTGCGCAAGTCTCCGAATGGACTTGGCGAGGACTCGATTCTGCCTTCTCCGCTTTGCCAGCTCGCCCGGCAAGCATGCATGGCAGTGCTGGCAATCAGCGCCTCTGGCGCAACCAACTGTCCGCCAAAACCAAGCACAGGGCTTGCAGCGGTGCGGGTGCAGTGATGACCCAACAGACTCTTCAGGTTCTCGATCGTGAGGTGGGCTTTCCGTGCAATCTGCATCCTCCAAGCTGCACATTGTGGTCGCTGTCTCGGCTGTGCTCGTCAGCGTTTCGTTGCTTCCCGCTTTGGCATAGCTTGGTGAGCTGCGTGGGGAGCCTTTTGGAAACAAAACGACGGTTTTAGGTCTACGCAGGCAATGAGTCAAGCTCGCACTGTGGTTTGCGTGGCTGACTGGCGCTTCCGACAGGTACTCCACCAAGCCAATTTGGTTGAGTCTCGCAGGGCAACTTGCAGACCGCCTTCTCCGGCAAACGGGCAAATACTCCAAAAATGTCATCTTCTCCACCAATTTGAAGTCAAACACCCTGTCATCTTCCATGGCTGAAGTGACCATGCTACGCAGGTCTACTGCAAGTACTGTTGCTTGGTTTGTGCCGAAGGCCTGTGGCAAGCGCAAATGACCAGCCCTCCACACAAACAAAATATGACGAAACATGGCATGGGCAACTTGGCATGGACTGCTCTGCTGGCTGAGAACGCCGCTCATCACTTCCCGCACTCTGCTCCTGGGCAATTGCCAAGCCTGTCTCTTCAATCAAACTGCTATGTTGCATCCAGCGTTGCCATGGTGGGCCTTTTAACGCGGAAGCTATGCGAAACCAAGTCACAACACTCAGTATCATTCAGCAAATTCACCACTCACCGACGGCCGCTGAACGGGGCTGGCAAGAAACATCCTATTCGGACGGGTAGCGTTCTGTCTCATGGCAAGGTTTCAAGGAAAGGGTTCGCGTGGCCAGCATGCTATGTAAGCCAGAATTATCAGAAGCAAAAAAGCCAAGGGAACCCTGGCACTCAAACATTTCTGTGCCAAAGCAGGACAAGTAAATGCAATACACAAGCCGACGAATAATTGCCAATAAAAGGAGGAAGGACAGGAAAACACAAACCTGATAAAGCCCGCGAACACGAACGCAGTTTACTTTCTCAGCGCGCTTAGACATCATCGCATCTCCATCACGTTTCTGGCCGCGTCCCTCGTCAAGTCTTACGTCATTTTCATCATGCCTTTCGCCACGTATCTTGTCACAGGTCTTGTCGCCGGGCCCGTCGCGTCTCACGCCGTCGTCGTGTCTCCCTGTCGCTCGTCACGTAACTCGACGCGTCTCCTACATCTTTCGCCCCTCCTTTCTCGTCACGCAACGCTCGTCACATGTCATGGTGTATCTCTCACTGTCACGTCTCTCGCTTGCGTCACGGCCCTTGTGACGCGTCTCCTCGCACGTCTCTGCGTCGAAGCTTACGTCGCGCAGCGGCTGACATCTTCGAGCGCGCTGAACCACAGAGTTGCCCCAGCATGAGGGGCAGAAAGGGCTTCATGAGAGGCTGTTGGGCCCACCCCGCAAGACACTCGTGTGGAAGGCGCTGGTCGCGTCAGTCCTGCGGGGGCCGAGGAGATACGTTTGACGTCGTGTCCACCTTGAAGACCACAAGCGCTGTGCCAAGACAAGCGGAGTCTCTTCTACCGCTGGTGTGGCCAGAGCGGCGACTTGTTGCTGCCAGCGGCCGTCCGTGGCGACGTGTTGCTAGATCCGTGGAGGTTCGCGAGCCGGAGCCATGGAGATGCTTCAATGTTGCGATTTTGCTGCCGTAGCTGCGGGAATGCGCTTCGTGTAGCGGGAGTGCACTTCGCGGACTACTTTCACGCCTACAAGTTGCAATTCTCGAGCCGAGCGCCGGACTAGGCGGGAATCAAGCCTGCGACTGCGAGATTGCAAAAGCAGGCGCGCAAACCACGAGACAACTTTCCAAGACCATGTCGCAAGCAATGAAAATAAGAAAATTTATGGCGCCACAGCAAGAGCGCTTCGATGCGCACGATCTCCAGAGGGCGAACCAACCACCGAGCTCAAGACACGTTCACGCGGCGCCACAGGGAGAGCGCTTTGACACGCACGATCCTCGCAGAGGGGCGCGGTTCGATGGCTCCCGTCCAGCCTACCCGCTTAAAAATAAGATTGTGATTTTAGGATAGTGAAGTCACACTCAAAAAAGTTGGCAGGAGAAGTTGGCACGTGAAGTAACTCTCGAAAAGTTGGCACAAGTTGGCCTTCAAGTTGGCAGGTGAAGTTTGCAGCCATTTTAGTAATTAGGAGAAGAACCCTTCGCATGCTTCCGGAAAACATTACGGCAAATGAAATGACGATAAACGAAATGAAAATAAATGAAATCAATTGAAATGAATGAATGCCATGAAATGAAGGAATGCATAAAATGGAAACATGAAATAGAATGAATGAAGCCGAATGCGTGAAACGGAATTCATGAAATGGACTGGACTGAAATGGAATGCCACAATCAATCAAAGGAGCGAATAAAATGGAAAGAAAAGAAATGCACGAAATGGAATGAATGAAATGGAATGAATGAAATGAATTGGAATGGAATCAAACAAAAAATCGAAGGAAGGAAAAGGAATGAAATAACGAGTGAACCGGAATGCATAAAATGGAATGGAAATGGAAGGGAATGGCTGGAATGTGACGGAACGAATGAAACTGAATGCAAGAAATGGAATGAATGAAATGGACTGAATGAAACGGAAAGAATCAAATGGAATGGGAATGGGAATGGAAATGGAATGGAAAAGGAGTGGACATGGAATGGACATGGGAATGGAATGAATGAAACGGAATGCAGAATGAATGAAATGGAACGAATGAAATCGAACGAATCAGATGAATGAACCAATATACTTGAAAGCGGATGGACAAAGGAACTTGAGAAACTGTGGACTGATTGCTGGCACCTCTTGCCAGCTTGAAAGGACCAGCGCTGCCTTTTCACGAGGCTGCTTTTTGGCATCATAGCAAAGAAACGAAATGACGTGAAATGAAAGGAAATGAAAGGAAATGAAAGGAAATGAAAGGAAATGAAAGGAAATGAAAGGACATGAAAGGACATGAAAGGACATGGCATACACTTTGATGGAGCTAACGAAGGAAGGGAAGAAGGCGGGAAGGCAGGAAGGCAGGAAGGCAGGAAGGCAGGAAGGCAAGAAGGCAGGAAGGCAGGAAGGCAGGAAGGCAGGCAGACAGGCAGACAGGAAAGAAAGAAGGAAGGAAGGAAAGAAGGAAGGACGGAAGGCAGAAGTGAATGAATGACATAAGTAATCGATTTGGTTTCCAGTGTGCTATGTATTTTCTGGTGTCGCGCACTATTAGACTATCACATGAGCTGTACCGGTGCGACGACCAATGACGGATTATCTCGCGGCCTCTGCCGTTGCGTGATTGAACTCAGACCTGCAACTTGCATGTCCTTCGGCAGCTGCTCCTCCTCACGCGTCACGTGCTCCTTGAATGAAACTCAACGAGAATGCCACTAGTGACAAGACTGGCTTCATGGCAATTGAGCTACGGGCGTTGTCCTCTACATGGTCGGTTCCCCACGTTGGTTTTGTGACACAATATCCTCACTCATTGTTCAGTAAGGACACTTGAGAATGTAATGGCCCCACAAGGCTTCCCAATGTCTTAACACGCATTCTGCGTCAAACTCACAAGTCAGACTCTCAAGCGCCATTGTCGTTGTGCGTTTGGCAGCTTTGGGTGTTTGGCTGCATTGCCAAACGCAAGCGCCTGGTAGGAAGCCCACCTTTTGACTTCACCTTGCTGTCTGCAGCGTCAACCCTGGCCCGCCAATCGCTCAGCCTAGAGCGGCTGGCTTTACTTTGTGGCTTAGCGCTTTGTCAAGCTACTACATCCACTTGCTTGCATGTGCTTGGACGTGCTGTGTCTGAAAACCCGGGCTTGAAAACTGATGGGGGGCATCAAACACTGCCTTTTAACTCTTTGGCAATGGCATATGCCGAAGCAAGATTGCATGCACCTGTCTGGCTGAGACGGGCGGCACTGTGTTTGCAGATGCCCCCCAGTAATACCCCAAATGCCGGGAGCGGCTTGACCATTTGGCTTCCTGGAAGCTGGTGTAAACATATGCCGCTGTCAAACATGCACTTTCCATAGAGGAAACCTCAATGTTGTTGTGAGTCCGGCAGTGTCTCTCCATGTCCTGTCACATGGAGCATAAGCTTCTGGATGTTTGACTGAACAACACTTGAGAAGAAGGAGGCACGAAAAGTAGCAGAGCATAGCAACTCGCGAACTTACCGTGCGAACAGAAGTGTTTTTTTCCTGTTTGCAATGTGAAGCAAAAAGCTCCAAAAAGAAGCCAACAGGGTCAAATGTGGCAAGCCATTCTTTTTCGCAGCACAAGTATGAAAGGCACATATGGAATTGCAAGCAGGAATGCCAAGGCTCATCCGAGGAGAACAAAACAATACATACTTATATATACATCATATGTACATATGTTCACATGTATAAAGTACAACCAACGGAGCGGAGTAACGGAGCAACGGAGCAAAGCACTTGCGGAATTCAGAGCAATGAGAAGGTGGGGGGGGGGGCTTTATCTTCCTGCTCTGAGCATGTTCGACAAGGCAGCTGCAATGTGAATGAGTCTGAGAATAGCTGTGGTGGAAAGGCGCTAAGACTTGAAAAGTCGTCCCATCCCCACCCGCCACCCCCCACCCCCTTCCCCATGTTTTGGAGCGTCACTCTACATCTCGGTCTTTCCCTTTTTTTGGAACTTTGCATTTTTACTTTGTTGTCCCACAAAGCAGTACTCAATGTAGCCACCAAAGGGCTACCTCTCGTGATATGCCACTGCGTCATGTGAGGGTTCTCCGAACTATTCAACCTTCTGGGGGCTTTTGTTAAAGAGCAAAGCGAAAACCAAGCGGCAGCTTGGTGGCCCTACGTTAAGTGTTGATCGGGGCTCGAAAACCAGCGGTGCCTGCAGCGGCAGTGGGGGTGGTATCACATCCGCCGAGTCGTCCGAGTCGCTAAACTGCGCAGCGCGACGAGAGAGGCATGGAAAGAGTACCCACGCACACAAAGGCGTAAGCATGTCTGCACCAAGCAACTCCACCATTGTCAAACATTCTCAGTCGCGAGCCATTGTAGCCATAGTGGCTGCACATGCGCCCGAGCAAGACTGACTCGAGTCCCTCTCTCTGGCTTTGCTTGGTTGTTGGTTGTTGGTTGGCTGGCTGGCTGGCTGGCTGGCTGGCTGGGTGGCTGGGTGGCTGGCTGCCTGCCTGGCTGGAAAAGCCGCCTGGCCGCCCTTTTCATGGTGCTGAATTGTCTGCGTGTGTGATTGCAAAGCAGGACCCTGGGGAATGATGCCCAAGCCTTCAAATGCTAGCAAGACCTGCGTAAACAGGCTAACAAACGCAAAGTGCAACACTGTAACACT